TATTCGAAGACCAGTATATCAGTGGCGCACCGAAAAAGGTGACCGAGATGATGATGAGAAGGAGATAGACCCAGCACTTGCAGGAGCGACTTCGATACTCGCTCAGACGATCCGATTCGACCTTCAGACGGGCGAAGTTCCCCTCGGCCAGGTGCGAGCTCTTCTCCAGGACCTGCTTGCAATGAATTTTTCCCATCTCACGCTATGAAGCAGAGCCACGGTTGCCAAAAGTTGCCGTACCTTGTTGTCCTTGAGGATGATCTTCCCGGCAACAAGACTCTGCTCTTTGAGACTCTGGACGAGGCCTAGCATATCCTCTGCCACCTTCTCTTGCTGTTTGTGGTGGAACTGGAGGAGGGCATCGAAGTCTGTCGTCGTCGTCGTCGCCCCCTTCCGATGCCTGGGTTCTAGCGAGGCCTGCTCCCCCCTCCCTGCACCACACAACCAAACACCTTCATATAGCTTCACAGGATTATGCATGGGTGGATTTGTCTGGATGAAAAGTGTCAAAAATATGACAAAATAATATGAATGAATAAGTCACAAATGACTTACTGCTTCAACATGCATACATTAGTTGAGGAAACACAAGATAAAATATATTCTAATCACATTCTGCACTCAATGTTTTACCAATGCTCCAGTCAATTATTTATGAAGAGCACTATCACTGGTATGAAAATTGCAGAGATGCAGTTTTAAAATTCACAGTGGATTATACAACTGAATAAAGGTGAGTTTAACCAAAACTTCACATAACTTCTCAAAATATAGCCAAACAAAGGATCTTGTGAGATTACACACACCAATGTGACTATAACAAAAGATTACTTCCACAGGCTCCAAGATTAAAACTCAGTATATCCACATGCAGCAGATGCGAAAATCAAATAGCTGAGAAAACATTATCTCAGTGGGAAAGTGAGTGGGAATCTGATTCCTGACCAAAGAGTTCCTTGCGAACGTCTTCGTTGACCCGAGACGTGACGCGATGCTGAAGATCTCTCGTGAGTGGATCCTGAAGCTGGGAGGAAGGGGCCGTGAGGCTGAGCGTCCCTGTCCCGCCTCCCTCTCTCACCGCTCCGGTTCCCTGAATGAGAGACAGGCACGTTTTAAGGAAACAGAACCGTGTGCAACACGTGTACACAAGTAACTAATATACAATGTTTACAGAATGGAAGGCAAGGCTCGACAAACCAATTTTTCATTACAAAGAATAATGAATTTAACAATAGGAATTCACATTACCTTTGAGTTAGAGAATGAATAGGAAAAATTTATATTTTTTAAGCAACACATAGGATTAGATTTGGCAATTTTTTGGCAGTTTAAACACAGGAACAATTTCAGACAGCAGGAGAGGACTGAAAAGGACAGAATTCCGACCAGCTTCTCAGCGGCAACAACCCGTTTCAGGTAGTCGACCTTGGCTTGATAGTCGGAGAGGGTCTCTGGGTCTGGCCGGCTGCACGGAAATGGTGAATGGGTCACCTTCATTCGCACTTCACAGACATGGCTTCTAAACTTTGAAAAATGCATTGACTCACTTGGGAGCAGACTTCACTTCAGCCAACAGTTCAGTCAAAGCATTCAGATACTGTAAATGGGAACACAATCAACAAGATGAGCAAACGAGGAAAAACGAACGAGAGGATGACCAGAACGAGAAGACCTCTTGGCTCCTCCATGTGTCCTTCCATTCACTGGATGCAGCCAAGGTCTCGCATCGCACCAAGAGGCGACGGAAGTTGATCTCCAACCGACTCTTCACCATCCTCTCTCTTCCTCTAGGATTTCAGAGGGTATGTCAGGAGGGAAAGGGAGACAGAGGACACTCCAAAAAACAGTAAAAAACAATAGCATAGGTAGGAGAGCCAAAGTGAGATGGGAATAACCCCTTCCTCACTCCAAGGGTGCTTTTCAACACTCTTTTTAATGGCTCCAATCATTCCCTTCCTCTCTGAATGACAGACTTCCTTAATAAAACAAAAGAAAATATATATATATATTGTCAAGAGTGGAAGAAAATGCATTAAACAGTGGCTATTTGTCATTTAAAGCCTTAATATCAATGTCAACTGTATTTGCATGAAAAAATAGGAAAAAAAAGTAAGCCAAACTGGAATGAGAACAAGATGAAGAAGAGAAAGACAATGACTGACAACAAGGTGAGGAAGAAGGTATCTTCCTTCCCAAATTTCCCCCTGCTTGGTTGCATCAGAATTTGCAAAATTGCATCAGTCCCCGGGCGACTAGAAATTCACACAATTGAGAAATTCTGTCAAGTAGAATGTGAG